CCTGGATTCTTTTTAGAAATCCGTATTAAAAAGTTCGCGATTTTTTGCAGCTTTTTCTATACACATTATCGTTCTTGGATTTAAATGGGATTTGCTAAAATATAAGCCATATTTTGAAACAAAATTAACAAAAAAGTTTAGCATGTAACAGTGCAGTACGTGCATACACACATTCCAACATGCATTTAATAGCTGTAGCCGCAGCTAAATTTTGTTTTCTAATTATTTTCAATTTCTTTATAAGCATGTTTTGATATAAATTTCGAATCTTTATTGTTTTTATATTGGCACAAGGTGCTGGCTCATAACTTGTATCACATATGAATCCTGATAGGCGGCATACACCGTGCGTCTGACTCGTGAGTCGGTTTGGATGTGTTTGTGAAAGATTCAACTGTATGTAGTCGAAGGCGAGTCAACACGTATACAAATGACTCGCGAGTCAGACGCACCGTCTATGTCGCCCATTAAATGTTCATATAAGAGTAAACAAATTTTCATTTTGAAACTCATATTTCTTGCCTACCTAGGACTCGCTTTCGGACTCATATATTCTGAACGCTCAGAATCAGCCCAATTCTTAATATTCCCGGGGAGTTTGTTCTCCGGGAATTTGTTACTCCCGAAAAAGAAATCCTCCAATAATTAACTCCCAGGGAGTAGCATTTTCCCCGAAAATTTGGGAAGAGGAAATTCGAACTTCGAAAAAGCTGTTTGACACTTTTTTGACAGCTCAACTCCGCCATTTAATATAAAAAATAATCAGGGAATTTTTATTCATGATAGGAGGAAAGGGAAAAGAGAGAATACTCAAAGGGAGTTTCTGTTCAGAATCGGCCTGAATATGTTTGCGGGGAATAACGTCACACGATGAAATTTAAACTAACAGGTTAACCTTATATTCGCGGCTTGCGTTTTGGTACGCATGCCGTCGAATTTGTTTTTTTGCGTCACCCGAAATTGACTTGCATGCGTTTGCATTTGATTTCATTGAGCGAAAGGTCAAATCAAAATGTCACGCAGAACAAAAATTGGAAATTGAGTTAGCTTCATACGCCCGCCGTTCAATTTCGGTTGATCTCATACAAGTTGCATGTGCATGAGAAATTTTTGACAATAAATTGGCGGCGTGCGTGAATATTAGGTTAGCCTGTAATAAGGTAAAAGTTTCAGTTAAAATTACACATCTGTAGTTACTGCAATAAAACAAACTCCTGTAGCAAATATCCGAGTTAATTCATTTCCATTTTATTCCAAAACATTGGATGCGAACAATTCGCACGGGTACGCTAGTTGAAATATTTTTCCGAAATCGATTTGCGCTCTCCCCAAATCACCAAATGCTCACAACTGTATTAGCAATTACCGCCAAATTCATTTCCACGTTCAAACAAATAGCAATTATTTTACCTATATTTATTTTGCATTGCTACCCACTGATAATTTGTAAAAATGAAACTATTTTAAAACATTATTTATTAATAAAAGCACAATTTTCTGCACACATCTATTTTCTAACAAACGTTTATACTAGCGCAAGCGGAAATCGCTAGCCACCGTTTAGTCAAATGGTAGGTGCACCAAAGTAGAAAAATTCATGGGATGCAGGGAGATACAAGAACTGAAAAATGTAAGCTTTTTTAGAATTTCTTTGTGGAGGGTGTTGTGTATTCTCTTCTATATAACGCATAATCAGAATCTATTTTGATATGGGAGAAAACGCGCAAAACCCTCCACAAAAAAAAACTTTCTAAAAAATCCCCAGTAATTTTTAGCGACTTTAAACTTGTACTAAAATAGAAATAAAATTGGCTACAAAACTGCATACTCAAAAATTTTCTAGAAATTCTGAATAAGAATTTTGAAATTTTGGTACAAATTTGTTACATTTTTATGAGCTTTATATAAAGTATGATGCTTTGATATATATGGTTTATATTATAGAATGAACTATATTTTCATAAATAACACAGGTTTACAAAAAAAAAGTCTCTGCATATTGAAACAATCCTCTATATCCCTATGGTATTCGACGCCCTGAATACGAATCCGAGGTCTGTTAGTCTCCATCACGTCAGGTTCGAGGTCATCTGAAGGTCAAGCAGGGAAAAATTCGTTGAAAAACCTGAAAATTCAATACAATATTTTTGAATTGGGCCTTGAGTTGACCTTAGCATGACCTCCAGATAACTTTGAAGAATTCCGATTCGGCGTCAACAAAAGCCCATGTGTATTATTTTTTATTTTTATTGAACGAACTTTTTTCAGACCCCGGGTTCGCATTCAAAGCGTCGAATACTACAAGGATATAGAGGTTTGTTTCAATATGCAGAAACTTTTTTTTTGTAAACCTGTGTTATTTATGAAAATATAGTTCATTCTATAATCATAAAGCTTCATACTTTATATAAAGCTAATAAAAATGTAACAAATTTGTACCAAAATTTCAAAATTCTTATTCAGAATTTCTAGAAAATTTTTGAGTATGCAGTTTTGTAGCCAATTTTATTTCTATTTTAGTACAAGTTTAAAGTCGCTAAAAATTACTGGTGATTTTTTAGAAAGTTTTTTTTTTGTGGAGGGTTTTGCGCGTTTTCTCCCATATCAAAATAGATTCTGATTATGCGTTATATAGAAGAGAATACACAACACCCTCCACAATGAAATTCTAAAAATCGTATCTAGCGCTGGATTTCATGCGAGCTACAACGGATATGAAAATTCAAATTAAATAAAGTAATCATAATATCTCGCTCTGAATCACTCCTAGCAGAGTGAGCAGGCATTGCCGGACACATATTGATTTCGCTGATCACTCGGTCGATTGTTCAATGTCTGATTAGCACTAATCAGAGGTAGAAGCTCCGGTTAAATACAACGACTGCTTTATCGATCACATGTTATATGCATGATGACGAAAACGTCGATAATGATGTTTAACTGCAAGTAGTGATAACCAGACATTGTACAACCGGCCTTTATGTGCTGTTGAAAACAGTGTTCAGTGATTTAAAAATTGCATCACAATTACACACGAATAATATGTACAAATAACGCATAAGTAGATGCAATATATGTTTTAAATTGTTACTAATTATTGACTGAGTTGTTAAAATAGGGGTTATTAACCGTATAAAAAATAAAACACGGAGAAAAATTATTTGCCATGTGTTATATAAAAAGGGGGAAAAACGGGAAAACCTAAAATTAAAAACTGGATATACACTTTTTTCTGAAACTCGATTACAAATAACAAGATGGCCGATTGCGTGATCTGTAGTCGTGGTTCACGCTTTAAAAATGGGTACCACGTTCGGACCGACATCGAAAACATGTTTTCGTTGCTATAACTGGTTTTCGACTTAAAACTTATGTTTTCGTCCACGTAAAATCTGTCAAACGAAAACCAGTTTTCGCCGAAAACTACTTGAAAACTCAGGGTCCACTCATTCCAATCGGTGTCTGCTCTAATTTTTTCGATTATTTATCGAAGTGGAAGTCATATTTGCTCATCTTTAATATGCCAATTCTGATTTGTTGTTAATTGGCCGGCCAAATTAAAATATGAACAAAAGGAAAAAATTGGTAATGATAAAAAAATGGAATACAAAGATTTTGATTTTGTTTTTTTTCGTAGCAAAACTGTAAACAAGAGATGAAAAAAATGTCACCGAAAACACTAACAGCCGGTGCGAACAGCTTTCAGCCCACAATCCTAAAACTCGTTTGCAAAGTGTTTTCGTTGTCGGTCCGAACATGGTATAATAGAGAGCGAATACGTTCCACTTTTGAATCGTAAATGTCTTCTTCTTCGTGCCCAGTAGTGTTGGAAAACTATCGATAGTGTTTACACATCGGCGTAGCCAGAATGAAATTTAGGGGGGGCTCGACCCTATTAAGCTGGCATTTCAGGGTAC